CGCCGCCGCCGCTGCTGCCGCCGCTGCCACCCCCGCCATCCCCGCCGCCGCAGATGTGGCCGCCGCGCTGCCGCCGCCGCTGCCACCGCCATAATGATGATATACAATTGCTCCTGCTTCTGCCAATACCGTTCGATCCTATTGCAGCGGCTGTCACTGCACAAGACGGACAGATGTGGCAGAACTATGGCAAGTATGGTTTGGTGTCAAAGGGTGCAGCCATGGCAGTCTTGTACAGCAAAGTTGCAAAGACTGCTGGCAGATGGCTGTGTCCATCGTCGATCATGTGCTCATCCATGCACTGGAGGAGTGCAGATATGGCGAGCGAGACTGCAAGCAGTGTGCTCAGTCGATCCTCCCTTTCGCGCTTCGCATGCTGATTTTCATGCAACTGTTGCACAGTCTGCTCAGACTCAAACGGTTGCTCTCACAGTTTCATGCAGGGATTCAGATACAGTAGATAGACATGTGAGAGTGGGAATGAGCGAGGTATGCTGAGTTTGCGATACCGCCGCTCCCAGCGGATATCAATGTCCTCGGCTGGAGTCTGAGATTCCGAAGATCACACACCCAGCCTTGTCTTAGCTGCCTCAGATTTGAAGGCTCTCGGTAGTCAAAGGATTCAAGTACACAGTCCCGTCCCTGAGCCCTTCGTGCTGTCCCAGGTCGGCTCGTGGGAGGTCAAGTCCTGATCAATGTCATCGCCTGAGATGCTACAAGTCGAGCGGGTTTATGGACAAACTTCTTAAGCTTTCCTAAGCCGCAGAAATGGCACGAGTAGCTGGTGACTGGCGGCAGAGATATACAGTACACCAACTCGCCCCTGGATCCTGGTGCAGGTCAGCCATTTTCTGCCAGAGGACAGTGCACCCAGCGCTGCGCTGTGGAATCAGCCAGGACCCTGTGACCAGCCGGCGCTGCAGACCAAGCATTCATTGACAGGAGCATTTGGGAAGATCGACATTGCTAGAAAGTGTTGTACGGCTCACACAGCTTGTGTTTCCAATCCACTCCTGCTGCCCAGGGACTTCATGCGCAAGAAGCCGGTGGCACCACAGAAGAGACTACAGGCCGCTGTTGGCTGTTGTAGCATTGACATTTGATGAGTTGCAGTGCTGCAAGCTCGCCTGTGAGTCAGCCACAGAAGGTTGTTTAAAATCCACTTAAAGACAGTTGGCCTGTATATTATATATATATACATATGCCTGTATCAATGATCCTTCACTTCGCTTTCGCTGCCAGGCTGGGCGTAAGATGATAGGAGGACTTCGTGATGGGTGCCTTGAATGCATTTTTCCCGCTTCGCGGGCATCCGGAGGTCGCAATGACATGGCACGGATTCGTAATACGTTGTCTTCTTCTTTTACAAACAGACGATCTCCCCCTCTGCACAAGTCTACAGTGCCATCTTGCTACATGAATTCTATCCCAGTAGAAAAAGTAACCTGCGAGCAACGCTGTAGCCTTAAACAGTGATACGGACATTGACTTCTTGTGCTATCAGGGGATGGTCCTGAGGGTGCCTTCGAAGACTTGCAGCCCCGGTGCAGAAAAGGAGAGCGGTCTTTCTTAAACGACACGGACTATGCAAAGCAGCGCAAAAGGCTTCTGCCTCAAGCCTTGGGAGCTCATGGCTGGATGCAGCCATGTTTGGTTTCAATGCTTGGTAGTTATACTGTTTTATACATTCCTGTGCAAGATTACTGCTACCAGCGTATGCGGGCGCTGTCGAAGTCATTCATTATGGAAGGAAGTCAGGGCCTGGGAGTCAGGAAACACGAGGGCGAGAGTCGGCAAATATGCAGGGCAGGAGTCAGGAAACATAAAGGAGGGAGTCGGGAACCATGAAAACATGCTCTTATTCGATCATGCAAAACAGGATGTAAATTTACAAGATGTTTTGCGCAGGAACTACATCCCAAAAACTGACAAACCATGCATGCTGAACCCTAGACCCTACGTAAACCCTAAATCCTATAGAACCCTGATGCCCTTAACCCTGAAACCCTCAGACCAAAAGCTCTCAAGCAGTGGCAACTAAAAGGCGAATTTCGTTTTAGGTCTGAGTATTAGGATTCAGCAGGGGGTAAGATTCGTCGGGGCCTCCTCCAAGTTCACATTGTTGTTCCATTTTGTGATAGAAAGGTCTAGGAATTAAGGATTAGGATAAGGTGGACACCCCACCCAGTAAGAGTGATTTTAAGGGACAATAAGGAATATACTAGGGTCGTACTAAATTCGTAAATATACCACGTTTTTACAAGGTGGGGGTCCTCTTTAGGGCTTAGGGTTTAGGAATTAAGTAGGACTCCCAAGGGGGTAAAATCCTCCAACATTTACGACCGTACAGAAGTTCAAAGTGCTGTACCAATATAGATGGACAGGAGTTGGGGCAGTCTGAAAACCAGGGAGCAGGGTTCAAGGTTTGAGGTTTAGCTTTTGGGGGTCCAGGCTGCAGGGTCTACGGAGTATGTGTTGCACCACCCTACAGTGCAACTCAAGCGTTGAGTTCGTAGTGCAGCAGCGAAAAATTCTCGACAGTGACCTTATCTTGGAGAGTGCCCTCGCATGAACAGTCCACCAACACGATATTCGAGCAGGAAACAGAACGTAAATTTGCATGATGTTTCTTTTCATATTTCCCGGTCCTTCCCGACTACACTCCCTTTTTTCCCGACTCTAGCCCTCCTTCTTCCCGACTCTGACCCTCCTTATTCCGACTCATGGCGAACGAATCTGCCAACACCCGACAGCGTACGCCCTGCAACAGTTTTATGCAGCCAAGTATTGCCAGCGGCTGTTTCAGCAGGTCAGCTCAGTGTTTTTGGCAAACGTGTTTGGTCAACCCGGAGGAGGTGACAGAGACCCTTACTGAGGGCGAGCGTCGCATCGTACAGCAAGGCCTCAAGGCACCGGTGTCGTGGTACAGTGCCAGCCGGTCTTCCTGTTGTCGTGTTGCAGACGTTATTATCGCGTACTTGTGCACGGCTGTAGGGAAAGTGGAGCTCTTTCTTGAAAGCCTTTTTTGTTTTCGAACAGTTGTTTTCTTGCTCGCGTGGCTCTAGCACCGCAGTTGCAACCGCAGATTGGCCCACAGCCAGATGTCTAGCAACAGCGCAGCTTTCAGCTGAAGTGTGTGCTGAGATGCAACTGTAGCATGTCTTTCTATGTCCCCGGTTCGGCTCATTATCCTATCATGATGGGGAGAAAGCGAGAAAGCTCTTATCACAGCTGAGTATACCGCAAATTTTCAAGACGCTCTCACTGCATCATCGCCGCTCCTGGTCAGAATTTTGCTGGCCATGATCAGAGGACTGACAGCATGTTCTCCAGTGCAGCTGCTCACGACCTCTCCAGTTTGGGTGTATAATATTTGTGGGGAAGAGCTTCTTCAAGCGCCGGTGTCAAATGAACATTATTGGACTGACAGCCATTAGTTGTTGCCGCACCCTTACCTGCCGCGTGCCTGCCCAAATCTTCCGTGCATGTTTAGGTCTGCTCTGCTTCCAGGTTGTCGTCTGCATCCATGCATTGGCAGTAGCCGCGCATTTGACACTCAGTGACGGCGAGGTTGACTGAAGCTTCCCCACTGCCCGTTCCCGTCCGGAAAATCGCCTTCATCGAAGACACACAAAGCAGTTTTTCTAGCATGGTTCGGCATTTTCACTGTTAGACAACAACATCAGCAATCTTTTCAAAGGTCCAGGCCAGGCAAAGTCGAAGCTCCCAGCAGAGCGTTCAACGTTCCTGCATGCATTGGGGGAGTGGATTGGACGACAGTTGCTTCCAGTTTTGGAAAACAAGAGCCAGGTTAGAAAGGTCTTTGCCATCTTCTTGTTTGTCAGTTTCGTGGTGGAAGTCCGGAATTGTTGCGATTGCAGCTACTACCGCCGATCGACTATCGCTTGGTGGGTGGCTTAGTAAATCGCAACAGGAAAGAGATGGAAGATTGAGTTTATGCATAGTGCCGGCCAGGCCGCTCTTTTTCCTTCTTCTCGCATGCAGAGGGCCTTCGACAGAGACCTTCACAAGCTTCAAACAGCCGAAGAGAGTTCCACGCAGCAAAAGTTAGACTGCCGCTCATGCTTGCATTTCAGACCTGATTCTTCAGGACTCCTGCGCCTCCCATGGCGAGGTGGCAACGAATGTGCACGCAGTTTTTAGTCGCTCACTGCGCTTGACATGGGGTAGGACCGGGTAGGAACTCCGCAGATGCAAAGCTCGGGGCATTTGTGTGCACATTGGCTCTTGCATCCTAAAGTCTGCCGCTGTGACCCTTCTCCACTCAGTGGGCCCTCCTCAGATGCTGGTTCCCCCCCTAAGAGCCCGTAGCCTGCCACAAGGTAAGCGCCTAGGATCAGCCTGGCAGATGGCAGCTGCAAGGCAGGCTCGGCCAGATCCGGTGTTGCTCATGTCGGTGAGCTTCCACGAGAAGCCTGCAGATTCATCTTGGCAGGGGCAGGTCCGCCAGCAGCCTCAGGGATCGGCTCCTGCCTAAGCCACTTGGCTTTCTCATCACTGGTTTGCGTTCACGTTTCAAGGGGTTCAGAACGTATTGCAAAATCGAAAGGATATGAAAGGATACTGCTTGCAGCAGAGAGCAATGGCGGCGGGTCTGAATGATACATGCATGTGAAAATTGTAATCTATCACCTCTTAGTCCCATGGAGACAGGGTGGGCTACAACAGTGACAGCCCTCGCATGTTGACTGGGCGTAGTTTTCGGCGGCGCAGGCTCGGTAGGGCCCTGGACTGGACCGTGATCCCCAGTCAGGAGGATTGAGCCCAATCTGCCCGCTTGACGGTGACCATGACAGCTTTCTGGCTCCTCAGCAGTCTATATGGAATTTCCAACTTGAACTCTAAAGCAAAATCAGAATCCAGCTGTTGCGATGGAGTCTGGTCGTTGCAGAATTTCAAGTTCGGATGCTTTTTCGACCAGGCAAGCCGTGCACAGTTGCGAGGTCTTCTGGCTTTAGCTGCTGCAAAGGTTGCCAAAGGGCTATTGGTTGCCCACCATTGCCGCCGAGACCTCAGCTGTGTTTAGACATTGTGGGCTTTCATGGATTTGGCGGCCATAAATCATGCTGCCAGGTGGGCTGCTTCACCATTGTGACTTCAGGAGTGCTCGCCTCAATCCTTACATTCCTTTGCAGGCCTCGCCGACACCCTTTTTTGTTCTGTGCAAATTTGTGCAACGTGGCGACACCTCCTCTTTGTTGGATCGTCTAATGTCTTCTCACATGCACAAGAGTTTTGTGTGGGAGTAGAGCAAAGTTGTTCCTGCAGAATCCGCACATGCCAACATAACTGGGGATCTTTCAATTCCCATGTCTCCAAATTAGGGGCCGCCATGTCATGGGCCTGCGGTCATATCTAATCTTTACCATATATTCCAATCCTCAAATATTTCTTCATTTGTGATTCTGGCAGTGCCAATCCTAACTCACGCGTTGCATGCATAGCACTCGCACTCACAACAAACTCATCACTTTTCTTACGAACACTAACTACGATTCTTATCCTTGCTGCCACTATACATCAGTATACCATTTTTTCAGCGCAAGACACGATCATCGCTTTTTCATAGATAGCATAGGACTCACCCCTAGAATTTGCCATCAGTGACGACTGTTCGAAATCTGATAGTAAGGTGAGTGTCAGTGCAATGTTGCAAAAGTGTGACACGCAAAAGGACCGTGGCGCATAATTTGAGAGTCCTCCCAGGCACTCTTTGACCTGGCAGTTCGTTGGATATCCAGGAGCCAGGATGCATGAGTCTGGGTGCGCATGATGCAGACTGAGCCTCAGCCAAGACAGATGATAAGAGTTATCCGTCTCGAACCGCGGTTTGGGCCATTTTGGTGCCAGGAGGGAAGAGGACTCTGACGAGTGGGTGGAGGCAGCCAAAAGGGGTTCGGGTTCCTTGGCAGGGTTTTTTGGGCTCGCTGAAACGCACTTACGCTGAAATTGGCGACCACTGCCATAAGGAAGAAGACAAGGCTTCACTAAAGGACCGAGAATCCTTATCCGACTGGCTTGTCAGGAATGGGATGAGAGGCTGATGGACGACACGGGTCTTGCGGAGGATGTCGTGGCTGCTCTGGCTGGGACCCGACGACAGCCTTGGCGCAGCTGCCTTTTGTTGCATTCTTCAGGCCACCGGCAGGGCACTTCGACAAAGCCACGAACGTGTGGGCCAGTGCGTCATGCATCTGCTAAGATGAAGCCAATATCCAACCAGTGGATGGTTCAACGCTTCCGCAGGGACCCGCCATGTCTTCTTCGTGCGGCATGCGCAGCCAGGCGATTCCGAGCTGGAAGCTGAGTGCAAAACTGTCGATAGAATTCCACAGATTCGTCTTTTTCTTGAAATCTTGGCCAGGCCATTGACTGCCTTGGGCGCGAGGCAGGCTGAACTGACAGCTCAGAGGCCGAACCGCTCTTGCAGTTTTGACCTCAAGTTTGGATCCCGTAGCATTGAGGCTTCAGATGCAGATTGGCAATCTGAAGCGCAAGGCCGCTAGGCAAGATCTGAGTGAAGCCTTGGGCATTAAAGCTTTCCCAGCCTGCGATGCACTTGAGTCAAGCTCGGCTTGATGCCAATTGGAACAGTCATTCTGGCACCGCATGCTTTCCGTCGCTTTTGGCAGCACAAATTCAAAACCCGCAAAGCAAGCGCCCTTGTAGCAGCGATCAGGCTGCCGTGAATGCTCAGCAACACTTACAAAGACGAATTTGCAATTTGTTGCCGCCAGCTTCGAGGTCATCTTTCACTCCCCAGCGCCAGAGGCAAAGGCCACGGCAGAAGCCATACAGAAGGCCCTTGGCAAGGCGAGGGTCTAAGCTATACAGAGTCTCACCATTGTTATCTGTAGGTGGGCGAGGGCGAGAGCTGACGACAATACAGCTGAGGGTGGAAGTCGTAAACAGGCCCTTGTTTTGCCAGCAGTACATGGGGATTAAAAGAAATAAAAGGCGTTACCTTTTACGTTTACATGGGGCTTAAGATCCAGAACTCATCCAAACAGACTGTTGCAAGCATTAGTACACTTTCAAATACTTGCAGAAATTGGAATCGAATGAAAAGCAGTTCAGTCGAATTCAAACACCATTTAAGAGCAATTGAAATCTAATTACGTAAAGGTCCAAGTGAAATCAATCGAAGTCAAGAGTAAATCTAAAACCAGTTGAAATCAAAGTAAAACTCTTTCTAACACCATTCGAGTTCCAACCAAAATCAATTAAACTCAACTGAATTTAACATCAAATTATCCCATCTAAAATCAAATGAAATCGAATTAAAATCAATCCAACATCTATCAAAATCTAACTTAACCCCGTCTAAATCAACTGAAATCGGCTTAGCTCCATCTAAAGCCAAATGAAATCCAATCAACAATCCATCTACCATCAATTGAAATCGAAGCAAAATCCACCTGAAATCAAGTGACATCAAATTCAAATCCCATCTAAAATCAAGAGAAATTGAATTAACATCTGCTTGAGATCGCTTGAAATATAATGGCCTGAAATAGTTGAAATCGAATGAAACAACAATCAAAAACAACTTCTAATTGAAATCGAAGCAAATCAAGTGAATTGGGGGAAAAGAAACCGAATGGACGTTCCATCTAACATCGGATTCAAAACCCCTTAAAATCAAACGTAATCAAATTAACATCCATCCCAAATCAGTTGAAATCAAATTAGACCGCAAAACAAATGAATCAACTGAAATCGAATTAAAGTCCCAATAGAATCACTTGAAATCTAACTAAAACTCATCCAAGATCAAGTGAAACTGAATTGAAATCTACTTAGAACCAATTGATATCAAAAAATAATCAACATGGATACGAGTTAAATCGTAATCGTAATACAATAAATAATGATATTCAGGTTTGATATGAACTCCCTTCTAGAAATTATATGAAAACAATGAAAAACTTCGAGATCAAGGGGATCCCTAATTCCTGTGGAATCCTTCATATGCCCCCATTCATGCCCTCCGAGGTTCTTCAGCAGTGCGAAGCTTAGGGCATCGACATACCTGATCTTGCCCGCTGTTAGGGGTTTGTGAATTTGTGTATGGCAGCACCTTATCTTAGCACATATATTGGAATAGGTTCTCCGGATGCCCCGGGGCACATTCCTTAAAATCACACTTGGGGGTATCGTCCGTGGTATCGTCTGGTTAGAACCAGGTATCGTCAAACTCGCCCTCTGCTTGCCTGAAATATCGCATTGGTTTCCCGGCTTTCGTGAACCATAGCTGTAGGCAGCCCGAACCTCTCCGGATGCTGTGAATGCATGCTGGCTTTTTTTTTTTGATGCTCACTTTTGCGCACCTTAGCTCTGAAAGTGCGGCTTGTTGGATTTGCGTTCTCTGGTAGTGCAACTTAAATACTGGAACGGCCGTTCCCGGCGACCTGATGGCTTTTCTTTCTCTGGTACTACAATTGAGTACTGGAACGGCCGTTCGCAATGACTTGATGGATTTTCGCTCTCTGGTAGTACAACTTAAGTACTGGAACGGCCGTTCCCTGCGACTTGATGGATTTCGCTCTCCGGTAGAACAACTTGAGTACTGGAACAGCCGCATACGACCGTGTGGCGTTGCTCTTTGTCAGCTGCGTTCACTTGGGGAACGGGGCAAAGCATGCATGCTGATGCCTTGGTTTGAAGAGCTTCGACTGCCAGCCTTTAAATGGGGAGGCAAGATGTTGGATGAGGTTTGGGATCAATTTCTTGGCGTTTGCCTAAGTAGGCGTTTACACGGTGTTTCCAATTTCCGGTCTTGACTATTTTGCCTTCGTCCTGACCGCTGCGTTCAATTGTGTTCTGTAGCTTTTGGAAGGGTCGGTCTTGCCTTCCGCCTATGCCTGTAGACGACCGCGAATCCGAGTCTGCCGCCATGATGGTGGTGGGCGAGGGCATGCAGATGTCTTCCGGACCGTTCCAGACCGTGAGTCCGACGAGTTGGAGCCCACTTGAACTTATCAGGATTCATCTTTTCAAAACTTGAAACTGATGTGGGACCGATGAAGGTAAAGCTGAGTAGCACCTGGCAATGCATGGCATATTGGCCCATACACTATAGTTAGTGTATGGCCAATACAGATACACCTAGCTGCGTTGGCGTGGGGATACGTGGGGTAACGTTGGATGACTTTGAAGTATGGGCTTCCCCAACTCTGGTGCGCAGTGTTGGGGAAAGCATGTTTGTGGTTTTAACCCTTCTGCCTGGGTTTGACATGCTGACGACGAATATTTGCATTGGGTCCTCCAAAGCAAGTCTCAAAAACAAGTTGCTGCAGCGCGAACATGGAGAAGTTTACACACGAATTCTCAACTCCATGATTACCGACTGCAGTTTGGTCGGGCCTCAACACTTGGCATGCTAGCGTACGTACAGGATCGTAAAGGTTTTCCCTCTTCTGCATTGTATGGCTGTTAGAATTTGGGGTCCCTTCTTAGGGCCCGAATCTAGGACGCCTGCTGAGGAGCAGTATTACTCGGTGTACGCCAACATGGACACAAGTTAAGCAAGTCACAACATCAAGTAATTAGTGAGTGCTGGACGAGAGGGAATGCAAGAAGCAGGTGCGGACCAAAGAGTCTCCACTGCTGGCTGAGGGCATCCCGATGGTGACCTGGCACAGGTGAGTAGGTGAGTGGATGTATCCTTCACAGCTTGAAACCCCACAGATGCTGTAGAGGGTGAGGAGGGATGGGAAGGCCGCATTGGACCTTGAGGCTTGGGATCTGATTCTTCGTTTCTCGCTTCAGGTACCCAGCCCGGCACCGGCGATTCCGACTTGACTTCAACCATCTTCAACCTGTCTCGCTGTGCAGTTAAGCTGCCAGGAGCAGTTAGAGACGATCCCTGCAGAGGCTCGTTGCAGGCCTTTTGGAAAATTGCTCCGCAAAGTTCACCGCGCAGATCCTGGCCAATGACGGTGCGCGTGCCGAGGGAGCGCTACGGACTCATGTGGTGCGCCTGCCAAAGCTGAGCAGCGAGTGAGCGTGTGAGCATCGGTGTGAGCGTGTCGGGCTTGTGCCCAGTGGGCCTAGTATCTCTGTGTACAAATAGCTCTCTGCGCTGCAGTGGCAGCCGTCCGGCGGTGTGGACACTACTGCTGAGGCGCAAACGGTGAGCGTGGAGAAGCTTATAAAGCACATGAGTGCATAGCGTTAGGTAAGACATGCCGTGTAATTTCTCAAGCAAAACAGCCAGCTTTGCTTACTTTTTGCGAGGTGGTTGTTGGCCATGGGAACTCGATACGGTACATGTTGTGTGGCGAGCCCAGTTGTTTGCAGGTCTTTCCAAGCATCAAGGAGAGCTAGCCAAAAGTAGACGAGTTTGCTCCACGTTTCACCGACAAGATGCACTATAACATGCAATCCCTTATGTGTCCATGGGCCTAGGACGAAGCACCCTACCTCGTCTGGCAGGATACAACATCCTGCAATATCCTGCAGTACTTTTCCCGGTGATTCCATCGTGCAAGCCCAAGTGTAGCCAAGGCCGGGCACTCCAGCTCAGCCCTGCCGTGTGGTCACGTTTTGCAGCGCCTGTGCACGATTGATTTCAGATAAGAAATCTAGTCTAAGGTTCGCAGGGAGCAGCGCAGCATGTTCATTTGAGCGGCGGTTTTTTTTACGGTAGATCAATTATAAGTGCGCAGCACAGAAACTCACCAAATCATGGTCCGAAAACTAGGTTTTCCTGTGCGCGCGGAAGGACGCGGAAGCTCCACGGAAGCGTTTCTTCGCGGAAGGCTTGCGGAAGCTCATGTTTTCAGCCACGCGAAAAATGCGATTGAAAATGGATGCTTCTTCTTGTATGTAGGCCCAG